GATTTTCAGTCACGAATTCAGTTTTTGGAATCTCAATTGCAAGCTGCAGGCGTGCCCGTTGATCCAGTTGTTGCACCATCAAACCCATTACATAGGCAGCAGGTATTTTAATTATTTTTACTAGTTATTACTTTAAATTGCCTAGAGCTAATATACAATTTAAGTCTCTTATTGAATGATAGGTTGTGGATTCACTTAGTAGTCATCCCACTGTTCGGCCAATGTCACATCAACAACAATCTCATGCATTTTCATCCCAAGAGGTGAGCAATCATTTAATCAAAGCTTTTTTGACAAATAACATATCTTATTAATTACAATACTTGCTCTTATTAAATATAGGTTCACCTTTCAAAGAAAGAGAAGAAGAATAAGAAGAAGAAGAAGAACTAACAAGGTAAAAGTACTAATATCACTAGTTCGTGGTTTATGTTCATTTGATTTGTAAGGCATTGTTGGTTCTGAAATTAGGGTTTTGGTTGTTACTGTTGTGACTAGTGACTAAATTTGGGTATGAAAATTTTGGAAACATTCATGACAAGCCTCTTTGGCATGAATTTGGATAGCTAGACATCTCTTTACATGGAAAACAATTTTAATGATCAGATACGCAAGCAGAGAAAATTACAAAAGATATATTAGACTATAAGTACAACAATATGATTAAACCCAATCCTTTTAGTAAGATCCTCTGTATTGACCAACATCTGGTACTAACATATTGGAACCTACGCCCCCCAAAAAAGGCATTTATGCTTGACTTTAGGGTCTGTTTGGCTGATGTGCACATGGACTTCACACTCTTCACTACTAGTATGGATCCCAAAATATTTACAGTTTTGACTGCTGCTTTTTTCCCATTGCTAACAACAGTGTCATCCCACAACAAACACTGTCCAAGGATGTGCCTTTGAAACTACAACTACTTGCAGCCACTAGAATGGTTACATCTTATATAGTGAATTGATACTCATAATATTTTAAGGTCATAAATAATTCCAGGCATTGATTGTACACATAAAATTGTGGAAATATTATTCAAAAAATACTGCTTGTATGACTTAAAAACCAGTTTTTATCAGAAATTTTATAGGCCTGGTACCTATTGAGAAACATAAAACTTCATAAGAGGTGCCAACTTGAAATAAGGATGTTGAGATTTATGGCATGCCAATGAAGGGAAAAAACAAATTAAAAATAGACATATTCAATCAACAAAAGGAGTGTGAAGACAAGAGAATTATCAGTCTAGACTTTAGTGTCACAATAAAATTACTCATACATACTCCAAGGTAGTAAGCTCCCATGCCCATTTAATTGCTTCCTTCTTGAAGTAATCTCCAAAATTGAAGTTTCCAAGCATCTCAAAGAATGTATGATGTCTAGATGTTCGACCTACAATCTCAACATCATTTGCGCGTATGCATCTTTGGGAAGTTGTGGCACAGGGTACCTCAGCAAAATATGATGATGATGTTAAAGTGGCTCAAAATTGCATTCGAAAGAACATATGTAATATACACATGTTCATTAATAACAAAATGAATAAGACAGCATCATTGCATTCCATTAGCAGACCTTGTAGACCAAAACCAAGAGACACATACCCATCAAAAGGCGAACAACGGGGGCAAAAAAGAAGATGGAAACTACGACACACATTAATGAAAAACCAGTCAATTACTAGATTAATGAATCATACATTTGGTAATCATCAGACATCATGCCAATATGTTAACCAGCCCAATTACGAGATGTGCATCAGTGCCTTTTGAAAATAATTTTTTTATCCAAGGTAAGTGTTTATAACTCCATATCATACATTTGCTTAAAATAGTATATATCTATATAATAAAGCAGAACGGTTTTTGAAAATATGTAAAATGTATCAAAGATACATTTCATTTTAAGGGCTCAGATTAATTGTGATAAATATAGATGGTTGAGATATGCTTTAATTCCCGCCCAAACACTTGGTGCTCTCTCCCTCTCCCACCTACCCACGTCTCTCCCCATTCCATCTTTATCTCTCTGTTGCACGTCTCCTTGCATTCTCTCCTTATCTCTATCTCCATCTTTGTTCCTCTTCTTTATCTCCCCCCTTCTCTCTCAGTGGCTTCAATTCGCAACCCTCCACCACCACCCACCCACTTTCTCTCTCTGCTTCGAACCCCGATTGGAGCTCTTTGGTACCTCTCTCCCTCTCTCTCTTTCTCTCTATGCTTCAAATTTAAATTGTTGCTTCATGGTTTCTGGTTTATCATCATTTTTGTTTCTGGTTCATGGTTTATTATTTGGTGAAACAGAGCTACTTCAAAGCTATACCAAACCTGAGGCTTTTATCTGTGCAAGGTAAGATTTCTGTCTCTATTCCCATTCTCTTTCTGTTCCCCTTCGTTTTCTTCTCTTGCCATTTTCTGGTTCCTTTCTGTTTATACAAATCTGCTGATCAACATTTGGTTCTCTTACTGTTCATTTTTGCCATTTTCAATTATGATTGAATATAACTTGGTGACTGAGGGAAAATTTTAAGTTTGGTGAATGATGTGATGGCCAAAGAAAGAACACTCCGTAAAGGTGTTTTTCTTCATGGGTTTTATAGGTATGTTTTTAGTGTTGTCCCAAACTACTTTCAGAATTACAGAATACAGATTGACAGTAAATCAAATTCGTTGGCAATACCACACAGAGGAAGCATCTGGGATGAAGACATGGGTGTTTGGATCAGTTAGACAATCAGTTAGCCAGTGACAGGTCTGTCATGAACCCACATGGGAACACCATCTGAAGGCACCTCACATTTTTCCAACACAAAAGCAAATAGAATGGGATGGGCTGTAATAGAGGGGTAGCCCCACCTCTCAAATTTCAATTTCATCATTTTATTAATGAAAAAGTCTAGAAACACATAAACTTATCATATGAAAATTATATCCGATTTTTAGAAACACAGAATCTAATCATATAAAGATTGCCTCTGATTTTTAGATTGGTTATTAGTTTTATTGTTGTTGAAACTATGATATGGGTAAAGGTAGAAATTTCAAATATTCATGGATTTGGGTCATTTCTGTTTTTCTCAAGAGGCATCCAGGTGAAGCTATGTGGAATAGCTCAGTATGGTAATCTCATAGGTGTTACAATTGGATACACAATAACGGCATCTATTAGTATGGATGTCGTTATTTTATCCTGTGTTTTTTTCCCTTCACAATTATTGTATTTTTAAATTAAGTTTTGTAAAGGAGAATGCTTGATGAAAGTCATTTCAATACATTTGAGATTTTGTCACCAAATGTGTATTTACATGGTGAAAGCACAAAAGCACTTTATGATTTTAAAGGACTTCTTAGATGAACATATACCAAACATTCATTTTCTCTAAAAAGTCTTATGAAGTTCTTCTATAGAGTTGATAGGAAATGCCACGAGTATACAAGGATCAAACTTTTCAAGAGAGAGTGAATTAGAAAGGTCACAGGCATATTAATCACCACCTTTACTTTTGTTGAAGGTGGTGTGAACTAAACTTCATTATAAGTCCTAACTACCCAAGTTTACCATGTCGTACACTAGAAGAAGTCAGCAAAATGTGTATATTGAGGTTGTACTAATTAAATATATAGGCTTTGTTTGGATTTCTATGTGATTAGTCTAACCAACACGTATCTAAAAAATGCTCAAAACAAACAAAGTGCAAGAGCAAAACTTCAAATAAAGATGCATACATGACTTGTGCTTCAAAGATAGAAAAAAGAAAACAAGGCAAATAACAACACTAGAGAAATGAATGGTTATGAGCTAATATTCATTGAAATAGCACACAATTGTGCATACAACACTACCATCACTTGTTTCATCAAAATTGCAATTAAATTGATTGCTTTCATAGGAATATTGGAGGACCATATAAAGAAGAAAAAAAAGTTCAGCATTATTAAGCAACTGACAACAAAAGAATTACGAAAAATCTTGATTTTTTCTTCCTTCTCTGCATTTCATTGTTGGTGTGTGAACATATCATCTTAACACATGCCACACTTGATCTTCTTGTGTTGTGGTGGTATATGGAACTTTGGCTCTCTGGGTATAGTGCAATGCTTCATCGTCCTGAAAATAACCCGAAACAAACAAGGGACATCGTTATGTTTACACCACTTATGCCAGTCAAATGATGCATTAGAAAACTTCTAGATTTGAGGTTTATTTTACAAAATTGGAGATCCAAACAACACCTGATCAATAAAATGTGCTGGAAAAGTTGAAGCTACAGTAAGTGACACTGAGGGGAAAAAAATGTATATAAAAAAAGAAGAAAGAAAGCAATGTATACAAACTACATATTGCTTTTTAAGAATCATTTGAAGGAGAGGGTCTATTTGAAGTCTTTAGTATGAGAAGTTATCTGGCAGGTTCAGCTTGCCGCGCCCACCAAAATAGACATGATATCTTCTTGTATAGAAAATAGAAACAAGTGGATCATATGTTTTTCTAATATTGAAAAGACACACCATGTGTCCTATAGGCCAAACCTACTAGATAATTTCTCTATTCAGTAGGTTTTTTGGTTATCCATATTCAAATGGAAAGCCATGTATAGCAAAAGAAGTTTTTAAAAATTCTGGATTTTATCTAGTACCTTCTAGGGATGAAAGTCCTGTCGAAATAGGGCATGAGTTGAGCTCTTGGAATGAGCTCCTTTCTTAGTCTCCTGATTTCCTCTTCTTCTGCTAACTACAGGAGCAAAATCCAGCATGCACATATATATCAGTAAACTACCAAGACTAATATCACCAAAACACACCCATAAGATTTTTTCTGTCATGTACCTTTTGTTGTCTTTCCCTTTTCTCCCTGTACTGTTCAATAAGGCTCATCTTCTCAGCCAGCTAATATGCAATCACAAAAGCAAAATTAAACGGTAATTCAATAAAGGGAATTTCATTATTGCCATGTAATATGCGCGAGAACATGGAATCTTGTAGATTCAGTGAATGGTAAAGACTTTAGTAATGACACAATGCCTACTTTATATGTGATACGTGAGTGAAGTTATGGTCATTATGCCCAAAACAATTGATTAATACATGAAAACCCTGAGTAAAAATATTTAAAGAAAGTTAAAAATGCACCTGTTGGTCAAACTCAGCACGCTTCACAGCCCTCACATCGCTATGCAACACCAAATCAACCGGTCTTGTGATTTCTTTGACGGCAGGTTTTACTAAGCACTGTAATATATAAATCCAGTAAGTTGCCATTTGGACATTCCCAATAATATTTTATTTTTTTCGGAAGTCGATAGCATTTGAAATTAAATGGAATTACCTCTGGCTCATCTGTTGTCAATGGGAGACCTTGTGCGATTGGTATCCGTTGCTTTTCCTCCTCCATCGTCATTTGTTGTAATTTCTTGACGAATTCTTCCTCCTTGAATCTTCCCCTTTGCTGCAATAAAAATCAATCACCAAAATTAACATGATTTCAAGTAAATTGAGGCAAAGACAGAAGGATTTAAAAGCAAAAGTCAATTTCACAAAACCATAAACACACACCTCTGTGCAAAGATTGAAGGGCTTTACTTTTGATCTAGCATTTCCTTTTCGATTTCCATTGCTTGGTTTGGGTTTTATTTTCTCACTGGAATTCAACCGTGAAGATTTACTGATTAAATTCTTGATTGGGTGATGCTTATTTGATGCAACGCCACAGCAATTGCTCTGTCCCCAATCCTTGATTCTGTTGTTTTTTGAGACAGATCGTGGAAGCTTTGGAGAAGATGTTTTGTTTGTATTCCCCTCACCAACACGAGAAAATGCAGAAATTAACTGTCGGGAAGAACTTTGATGGGACCTGAATGCCATACATTTAGCCATTCTCATTTAATGGACTACAATTAGAAAACACCCCAACAAAATTTACAATATAGCGAAGGTGAAGTACTTACAAATGGCTTATTTTGAACCAGTTATCATCACTGCAATGTAACAGAAGAAGATTACACTTGGATTCAAGATGTGGAGTCTTACAATTGACTTACAAGAAACGACTTTACAAGAAAACATGGAGGAACCATTTTTAGAACCAGTTGTAAAGAAACTCACTTGTCTTTGTATCCAGACGTGGCTTCTAGATCGAGATCTATCCACATGGGAGCTTCGATTTCATCCTGTATATGTGAAAATCAGCAGTAATGTAACACCAGACTCTCTTGGAAATTAATACAAACCCAAAAGACACATTTTAGATTCTCACAATTATTGGATTCAAAACAAGACAAAATGCAAAGTAGACATGATGAATATTTAAAACAAAAACGAAGAGAGATGAAGGGGGAAAAAATTATTAAAGGCTGGAAAAGAATGAGGAAAAGGGGGTCAATAGTATGAGACAAAAAAAACAACAGATTCAAAACAATAATTAATTCCAAGAAGATCAAAACCTAGTTTTAAACATGAACCCAAATAGACCAAGATCAAGAATCCATAACATATTGAAGTGAATATACCATTCCCAGATCAAAAAATAACCAATCAACAGGAAAAGAAAGCCTCCAGCTCCATTGTTGGGTCTCTGACTCGTAACGTTCTCTTTACCATTTCCAAGTCTATTATTCTTGTTGACTACCACTTTGTCATCTGCTTTTGTAGCACCATTCACAGAATCTTGTGCATTGACTCTATGTAGCCTCATGGCTTTTGTAGCACCAGTGACAGAATCTTGTGAATTGACTCTATGTAGCCTCGTGGCTTTAGAAGGCACAACTTTGTTAACCTGAAAATTTTATGCATAATTCAGCTTACTAACCATGATTCTGGTGCCAAATTCAAGATTCGTTCATTGCGATTATCAATCCAGAATCCAAATAATTAACAAGGAAAATTTTTAATGATATGATATCAGCTTGTTTTTGGAACCTACTATTTTGGTCAAAAAACTAAAAAATCAACTATTCTCTCTGCTTTTTTGCACGTCTTTTTTTATAAAAAGTTAAAAAGCCAATAAAATAATCAATTCCCAAAACAACTAGAATGAATTTGAGTAGGGTATTTTGCAAATCACATTTATCATTGAGAAGTAACTAGCTCATACGAGAAATTTTCTCAACATTCATGGTATTTACCACTAATCTAAAAGTTTAGAATTGCATATAGTAAAATTGTACCGTGTTTGCTGATGAGTAAGTCAACAGTAATTCGAGATTTCTTCAAGATTTTGCACTAGTTTGGTGTCATTAATCAAAATGTTGTAGCTTCTCACCTTTGATTTTACAGTTTCTAGGTGGGTTGACTTTGCAACAGCATTGGTTTTACTTCCACATCCAGATTTAAAAGTCAAATCCCGAGTCTTAGCAGTAGATTCCTTGGACATATTTGACTTTCTTACTTTGTCACAATTTGCTTGAGGCGCTCTCATGGCATTTTGATTATTATCAGGTGTTACATCTTTGTTCAGTGATGCACGAAGTGTCGTGTTCTTAACATTATAACCAGGGTGTGAAGAGGAGCCCACACCGGATTTTCCCGAGGAAGATTTACGCCCTTCTAATTTTCTCCCACCAACTACTTCAAATGCATGTTACATGTACGCATAAAATCCAAGAAAATCATACCAAAAATAAAAAAATAAAAAACAAATCCAAGAACAAAGATATTGGACAGGTATATATGCAATTCATAAACATATGCGTGCACAGAAATGTAATACAATTTAAACAGATTCATTAATTTTTTATTTTCGATAACATTACAAACAGAAACAGAGGAGCACAAAATTTAGACCAGCATCTCTAATGGAACTTCTTGCAAAAACCTTCAAAAATACACACACCAACTCAAACATTGTTGGTCACCAAGCTTCTTTTTTTATTGATGTATTTGGCGATGTAAACTTTTTACTGTCTAAATTTATCAATAATTTTTTTTTACCGATTAAAAAAAAAAAAAATTGAACATCTCGCATCCACCATATCGAGGAATGAATCAGCAACGTGGTCACATGCATTACTTAAACACAACTGTCGATGAAACTAAAAATTATCATGTGACAAATCAAACTTATTCAAAAATTTAAAACTCGATGAACATGTATGTTTATATTCATCTTTCATTCATATACTTTTTAAGAGAAATTACCATTCAATGGTAGTTTTAGAAAATTATTACAAATTCCTAAAAGAGATTTAAGACTTTAATTATTCACTGTACTTTTTTGTAAAAACTTACACTGAATTGAAAAACAAACAAAAACATAGATATGGACCTAAGATAAAAGGAGAACCTGAAAGTCGAATCATCCTCTGAAGAAATATCATAAGCAGCGACAAGAAAATCAGCAACAAGAAAATCAGCAAAAAGAAATTCTCCATTGCAACAACTACAACAGCATACTGAATAGCTGTGTGTATGCGAATATATATATATATATATATGCATTTAGAGAGGGAGAGAGAGAGATTGCGGGAATTTTGAAATGCATTTAGAGAGGGAGAGAGAGAGATTGCGGGAATTTTGAAAGAAATTTGATCAATTAAGGAATTAGTTAATTAAGGAATGATTGATTAAGGAATTAGGAATTTTGATATGGTTTTTCCAATCTTCCAGAAGCCTCTCTATTCCTCTATTTTTGTTACTATAGCTAGCTAAAAGCAGAAAATTCATCTCCAGCAGCCTCGCCGGTGGCTAGCTACTTTGATTTTCAGCTACAGTGCCTCGCCAGGGAAGACGAGGCGCTGTTCAGTAGCCTCTCAATTTTTTATTAGTTTCTTTCGAGCACTCCAAGCTTTGCTTACGAACGACGATCGACGCTGGACAACTCACGATCAATGCCGGAGGAGGAGGGCCAAGCCGGAGGAGGAAAATCAACGCCAGAGGAGGACGATCGAGCCGGAGGAGGAGAATCGACGCTAAACGAGTCACGATCGACGGCGGACGAGAACGCAACGAGGACGATCGACGCCGACCTAATCACCATCGCAGACGAATCTCTGGGTCTCTGCCCCTCTGTCTCTCTTTCCCTAGTGTTTTTATACCAATTTGTCTTTTTTCTTAATTTTATGACTTATAAACAGTTGCAATCAAGCTTATGGTTACACTTGCTAATTCTTCTAATACTGCATAGTTCTCGTAATTTTTGTTTTTAAGATGCAATTCTTTGTTTAATATTTTTTTGTTTGATTAATTTTTTGAAATTTTTTAGTTTTCTTTTGATAAATATGTTATTTATATGTTGATTTTCCTTTCTTTGTTTGCGAAGAAATCATCCAACATATTTCATAATTTTTAGATCTCAATTATTTGAAGTTGAAAAGAAAGAGCATCTCTCTCTCTTTCTCAATTGAGATTCTCTCAGATTTTTTTGCAATCGGAATTATATTTTTAATTTTTCATATTTTGTTTTATTTTTTTAATTTTTTTCATTTAAATTGATGATAGTATTGAAATTTATTAATAATGGAGTAAAGTGATAGTTGAGGGGGTGTATGTGTATGTATGCCATATTTTAGTTGATTTTTTAATTTTTTATAAAGAGATGGAGTATTTAAAAATATAGAGGGTGATGTGTGATGGAGTATTTTGTTTTATTAGTTACTTTTAGCTTGGAAAATACATCTTTGATAAACATAGTTCGGAATTTATATAGGAAAATTTATCTATAAATCACATCTTGAGGAATGGTGATCTATTTAGTCCCAATAATTTTTTTGTAGACCAATTAGTCCCATGAATTTTGGGAAGGTCGATTAAATATATTATTTAGAAATTAAATTTACGATTATACCCTTATTTTTATTATGTTTTTTATTTCTTTATTTCTTTATTTTTTTTCCTTTGGTATTAGAAAGGTAAGATACACAATCAATGGTAAGAGAGTTGGATCTTATATAATGAGTGTATCACAAATCAAAAGTTAATATGTATTATATCACATCATTAGAAGTCAAATTAGGGAAGTGAGTCTACGAGTCTCAAACATTTTTTTGTTATTGAGACGAAATTTTTTTAAAGGTATAATGTTGACTTATTTTTGTCAAGTAATTGAAAAACAAATGATAACTTGATATGTTTTGTTATTATTCATTTATCAGGAATAACACATAAGTAAAGTCAAATTATATTTTGAAGGGTGTTGGCAAAGCCCAGCAGATCCCAACTGCTGCAATCAGTCAAGGAAGTCAGCACAGTCTTCCTCCAATCAACTTTGGAAGCCCCTCATCTAGTGGCTTCAAGCCCAAATCATCCAAGTCAAAGATTCAGCCCAATATTGATCATTCCAAGTCCAAGGCTAAGTCTACAGCCCAATCCAAAGCTCATTCAAGGCCCAAGTCAAAATCTCAAGCAAAGCCCGTTTCACCTCCTGCTCAGCCCAAAGTCAAATCCAAAAGAAAGTCCAAGTTATCCAAGGAAGAATTGATCCAGTTGGTCAGCAAATTTATGGATCAACCTGATTCCCACTCAACCAGTTCAGATAATTCAGAAGAAGGTTCAGAAAATCCACACTCTTCTGAAGAATCAACCAATCAGTACTCAGGTCCAGAGTTTCAAGGTGCTCAGGATCCATTTGCTTGATCAACATTGGATTCTACATAGATACAAATTAGCTTCAATCAATACTCTTTTGCGAAAAGTTGCCAATTTGTATTTATATTGATTCCATTAATCGCATGTTCCACCGAAAGGCATGAATAGTAAAAGTTACTGTTCACTTTTACTGTTCACTTTCACTATTCAATCAATCAACTGTTGATAAAGCTGCTCATTTGTGCAATCACTCCACCGAAAGCAACCGACAGCATCTGCTTTGCCTCATGCGCTGCCAGCTGCCTTCATCAATCACATGCTAATTTGCTTTTCTTTTCTATATATTGTAATCAGTTATATTCATTCAGCACTCTTCAATTTTAGAAAATCTTCATTCTAAGAAAGCCAGAGAGCTCTGAGTGAAAATTACTTCTTTCCGTCTGTAACCCAATTAAGATCCTTGCAGTTGATACAATTGTAATTGTAAGTTATTTTCTGTATTTTAATTACAAAGTTTAATATTAAATGGTTTTGGTTTAATTAGTGCATTCTAATTCTGTTTATCAATTTTGTTTCGTATTTGATTTCGTAATCCATTTTCTTCATTCTGCTTGCTGCTTCCGTGTTTTGGTATATATATATATATATATATTTTGTTCCCTTATTTCAAAGCATTTTGAACCACACTACCATATCATATGAATCTTATAACTAAAGAAAAAAAAAAGGCATAATTTTATACGTTTTGAGTCATAACTAATAAATTTTTTTTAAAAAAAAAAGTCATGACCAAACATCACATGAGGAATAACCAAAGATCAGATGAATCATAACTAAAATATTGTCATGATTAAAGGAGAAAATTAGTCATAACTAAATAAAAAAATGACATAATTAGGGGTTGCATATGATACACCATTTTCAAGAAGCGTGTATATTAGAATTTTCCTACATTTAAAGTAGAACACAAAAAATCTATCACATAATAATACACATAAATGAATAAGATTTTTGAAAATTTACTTATAAATCTCATATTGAGGAATGATAATCCGATTAGTCCCAAGAGTTTTCTTATAGACCAATTAGTCCCATTGACTTTGAAAATGTAGATTTAATATATTATTTGAAAAGTAAATTTACGGTTATACCCTTATTTCTATTTTTTTTTTCCTCTCTCTCTCTTTTTTTGTGTGCTAGAAAGGTAAGATACACAACCTATGATAATCAAATTTAGAATGAATTTTTATATGAGAATCTTTTTTATTTGGAATGACTTAAAATATGAAAATTTTCAAGCATTCCAAAAGGATTTCAAAAGGAGTATAAAAAGTTCTTAGTAAACTTTGAGTAAATATATAATTTCAATATGTAATACTTCAATGTAACACTCCAACGCAACACTAAAAAAAAACTCTTTAGTGTAATACGCAAAAAAATTATTTAGTGTACTTTTTCGAAACGTAATATTTTGATGTAACACTCAAAAAAAAAATGTAGGATTCTTCAAACTATTTCAAAAGGGTGTGGAATTGTTCAAACTATTACAAAAATAGAACAAAAATTCCTTAGTAAGCTTTGGGTAAATGTATAATTTCCAATTGTGCGTGTTACATTTGAAAAAAGTACATTAAGTAGCTTTTTAATGTTTTTATGTGTGTTATATTGGAGTATTACATTTGAGATTATATTGATTGGAGTGTTACGTTTGAGAAAAATACACTAAGGAATTATTTTTTGCGTGTTACATTGGAGTGTGTTACATTGGAGTGTTACGTTGTTACATTTGGAAAAAAATACACTAAGGAGCTTTTTAGTGCGTTACATTGGAGTGTTGCGTTCTTATTTGCAACGTGAGATTTATTCCAAAAAGAGGGAAAATCCATAACCTCTATAGTAGGAAAATTATTTTCACACACCTACTTATCTTAGTGCACACACTTAATGAAATATTATTTTAATGACAATTATAACTTAAAATAAAATGAATATAATGGATATCAAAACACACCCTTAATATTGTCTAGATATGAAGCATTATTAGAAGAAGAACAAGATCGAAATAATGCCTCGTATAAGACATATTATAGAGATCCCAATTATGAAATCGATGCAGCAGAGATTGTGGGCAAAGAACCTGTAATTTGTGAAGCATTGATTCATAAAGACACCACCATCGACCAGCAGTTTAAAAAGAAAGATTTCCACAGAAAGTATTCTTTCGATCTGGCAAAAGCAGATGACATTTTTGACCATCTGCTTGCAGCCAATTTCCTTAAGTTACCAAAGGGAGTAAAACTGCCATCTCTAGATGAACTTAAAGGAAAAATATATTGTAAATGGCATAACTCTTGGTCTCACTCGACTAAAAACTGTATTGTTTTTCGAGATAGGATCCAAGAACAAATTCAGAAAGGAAGTTTGAAATTCCCAGCCAAAGCAGAAAAGGCCATGGGGATCGACAGTAATACATTTCCAGAAATTGGAGAGGTGGCAGCCAATGTCATTATGCCAGACATCTAGAGCTGGTCATTGAAAGAATTGGAAGAAGTCAATGTGCAGATGCATGTTGCCAACCAGACAACTATCAAGAAAGACACTGGAAATTTACCAGCTATTGGACAAGGTTTCTCACACCAGAGGGAAAACTCTGATGAAGAAGCACTGGATGACGATTCCTTAGAGGCAGCTATAATGCAAAGGATGTGTCCCAGGTGCAAACTGAGTTATAAGTGGTTGAAAGGGCTTCCAGTTGATGAGAAGCAATATTACAGGGATGTGCAGAGACGTACTAAACCAACCAATGCTTACAACAAAAGGCCATACCCAATTATTTTCCATATTATTTTAATGACAATTATTGTCCAGTAAACAGTCATATGTGGTACATCCATTAGCATAACAGTAACAGTAGGTCTTAAAAGACCGAACAGTAATGATGGCCATCAGTTAGTAAACAGTAGTGGTTCCAACGAGGGAACCGACAGAGAATTCTGTTACAGTAACAGTAAGAAGTAGGTGCCAAGGATGCCACAATACAGTTCAGAATATAGGACATACATTCATTCAGTTAACAGTAATCAGTTCAGAAAACAGTACAGTTTAGTTGTTCAGAAAATAATCATTTGTGAACATATCTTTACACATTCGTTACTCATAGAGTTCGGGCTACAGTATGCTAGAGCGTGCCTCTCCAGTCGCCAACCCTACACAATTAACAGATTGAACACACTAAGCTACACAGCTGGGAAAGATAATAACTTAACCCCTAATGCCTCGGTGTGTTCTACATCTATATCCTCAACAAGATGCCTTAAACTAGGCCTAAGAATGCCTAGAATGGGATGAGGATGCAAAGATGTACATTTAAAAGCATTTTCAGAAAAACAGAGTTCCGCTCGAGCTCAGGTTTCCCCGCTCGAGCGGCAATGCAACAAAGGTACACGCTCGAGCGTAAACTTTCCCGCTCGAGCGTACCATAAAAGTACTGGATGGGTGAAATC